GTTGTCGTTCTACGTACTTCTAACTAGTAGTAGACTAGTAACTAATAAATAATAACTATATATATAGTATATATATATATATATATATATATATATATATATATATATATATATATATATACTTTATTCAATGTTTGTAGATTTTACATTTGGCGTCGATATTTATTGGGATCTTAATGGTGGCGTTCCAAAATGGTGCATATTCAGTACGGGTACTTGCATTTGAATTCAATTAAATGAAGATGGCAATAATAATAATAATAATAATAATAATAATAGTAATAATAATAATAATAATAATAACCAGGTATAATTAATAAGGTATAGTACCTGTTAGCTCTCCCCGAGACCTTGAAGTATCGGGTTGGCGTCCAACGGGGGCAAGTCTGTCTTATGGGCAGGAGGGACTATTTAGCCTTAAACGGCAACCCCCTAGAGATGGTGTCTCAATAAAAATACCGCTCTCTGGAGGAGCAAACTCCCGATAACTGTGACATTATGGCCCACGGACGTATGGACGTGCTCTGATGTCCAGGAAAGTTTGCCCTAACTATGGGTTAAATAGTAAATATCATACCATAATGAATAAGCCAATACGAAACGCATCGCTCGTCTCGCGGGTCAACAAGAAGCACGTCCCTCAGTGATCGCCGAACAAGCTGAGGTCGAAAAATCGGTTATTGAGTCGGCATACCTTAACAGCCAAGCTTCAGATAGCAACCAGACCGAGGTCCAATCTCAAGTTGGCATATCTGAAGCAGCACCAACACCGCAGGTACAGTCCACCAACAGAGAAATAACCAACAAAAAACAAGAAACCAGTGGACAAAGGATCAATACAAGGATGTGATGTGGTCCTATTATTTCGCCCAAGAAAACAACACTGATGGCAGGGTAGTAAAAGGTACATACACGATCTGGCGAGGCAGAAATCCAAACATCTTTCCAGCCACCAACTCAAATACTCTTGCTAATACTAGGAGGTGGATTGTTAGGAACAAGAAGCTCACTGACACTGAGCTTGAGCAGATAGTGGCAGCTGGCCGAAAGCTAAATAATGCATCGCAACCAACACTTATCCCCACTGAACAACCTGAAGACCTACAACCCCCACAGACCGAGGCTGAACAAACACTGCAGCACACGGATAACCATGAAGGTGAATCAGTAGTGGATATGGAAGATCGCATCTCTACTAAGCTGCTTGAAACGCAGGCAATCCCCCTGGATCAACGCAGAAGCCTGAAAAAGGTTCATCTCAACAAGGCAATACGGCACTATATTCAAGCTGCAAATCAGGCCCTCACCAATATCATCAAAGATAACCGCCCATACCAATTAATGTACGCGACTGCTGCTGTTATTGCTGGAGAGACAAAAGAGAGAGTCACGAAGCCCATAGAGGAACCAGCATAGAAGAAGAGAACCAGGACAAAAATTGAAAACCATCGCAAGGACCTCTCCATCCTTAGCAAAATAAAAAAAGGTGTCACAACAAAGCAAGTACATGCCAAGGCCAGGAGCATCTTATGCAAGAGCCGAAGGGAAAATAAGACCATATGCGAGCTCGAACAAGAAATAAAGATGAAACTACAGGCCAAAGCTCAGAGGTTGAGAAGGTTTACTAAGTGGAGTGAGCACTACTATCAGAATAAGCTCTTCCATGAAAATGCCAGAAAATTCTACCGGCATCTCAACGAGCAGCAAAGCACCATCAAGGAACCTCCCTCGCAAGAGCGACTCGATCAATTCTGGCGTGGAATACCTGAAGATGGCACAAACCACAATACCAACGCTACTTGGATCAAACAAGAGGAAGAAGCATTCCAGAATGCAGCAACGGATGTATGGACTGACATTACAATGTGTGAGGTACAGCAGGTCATCAAGCGGACCAACAACTGGAAATCTCTTGGCCCAGACAAGCTGCACAACTTCTGGATTAAGCATTTAAGCGCCCTCCATAAACAACTAACCAGGGCCTTGAATGACACCATCAAGGATCCAAGCAATAGCCCCAAGTGGTTGACATCAGGAACCACTTTCCTTCTTTCAAAAGGCAAGGATACAAAAGAACCAAAACTATCGACCAATTACTTGCCTGCCTACCACCTACAAGATTCTCACTGCTGCAATTACCAACCGCCTCTACAATGACCTACAGAAGAGCGCGGCATCCTCGCAGATGAGCAGAAAGGCCGTAGAAGAGCGTCTAAAGGGTGCAAATACCAACTTCTCATGTGTAATTACATGATTGTGAGCATGGCAAAAAAGCTCAGGAGGAACCTAGAAATGGCGTGGATTGATTATAAGACAGCCTTCGACAGTGTCCCACATTCATGGATTCTTGCAGCTATGAGAATCTACCGTGTGTCATCAACCATCATTCATTTCATGGAAGCTACAATGAAGATATGAAAGACTGAAATGCTCCTCTTCACTCAAGGCGGCTGCCTCAGGACAGAAGATATCTCAATCAAGAGAGGAATCCTCCAGGGCG